CCCCCCCCCCCCCCCCCCCTAAAGAAGTCCAGCACCACCCTAAGAAATCTGCTTGAACATTTTCTGCTTTTCGAATAGCGAGTAACGGAACTTCCACTGTTAGCGCGTGTCGATTTCTTGAAACGATTTAACTGATTTGTGAAAATACTCAAAATTCTGTCCAGTCACGCATACGTGATAAAAAGTCGATGTAAACTTAAGATAATGTAAAACGTAACAGAATGGCGAACATGCCGATTCGGCCATCTCAAATAATGGTAATTTTGGGATAGTAGCGTTGCAGACTGCAAAGGAGAGTGAACAGTAAGACACCTTCATGCACCACCCCATGGAAAACCTGCACCCCTCCTTGTGGATGAGGCTAGATACGTCCCTGGACGAGACCCTGGTTTCCGTAGCAACCATTGATGAAAATGATAGGTCAATGTGACGCATAGTCATAGAACAGGCGAAAATTGCCGCAGAGAGCTGCTGCTTTTTGACATCAAATTGCCGTGGAGAGGTTTTAGGAAAATTTCAGGTCTGAAAATCATCTTCGCGAGCACACGAGAGCTATTGCGCACCTCGGCAAGCGTCTTGACTCATTGGACAGGGATGCGCCATGCACGGACCTCGTTTGTTCAGAAAGTAAAAATTGCGCACGTCATGCTCGTCAAGCGACCTGTTTGAGTTTGGCATATGCTGTTGTGGTGACCCTGCCCTAGTTGGCAAAGCTAAATAAAAAGATTCTCAATATTGAGACTACAGCTGGATTTCCACATTTGAATTGTGAGCGGTAGAACGAATTTATTCGGATGCTCATGCACATGTGATTCAAAAGAAATCAAGCGAAATATTTCAACAAATAAACCCATCCGGAAAGTACTTAGCCTTGGCTATAAAGCCACGTGTCGTCAGGCTTTCTGGCGTTCTTATATAAAAAAGTAGGATAATAGTATAGGACAAGAATTTTAATCCCCTGAGATCGTCTTGCACCTCCCCTGAGATTTTTTGCACCTCACCAGAAAAGTCATGCACTTCCACTCGGGAAAGGTTAAATGATAGATCAAAGTGAAAATTTGACAATTTTTTATGTCTTGCTTAGGGTCTACATTTAGCAACAATTTTTTTCTGTAAAATTGAAACAGTGATAGTCATTGACCCCCAGGTCAAGTACCCTTTCAACGCAATTTTGAAAAAACTGTAGTGATGTAATGAAGCAAAATTGGCTTAGTCGTACAGTCACAATTCATAAATACACTTTATGCACTTATGCATACGTACAGTACATGCATGGCTACATGCACACGTCACGTAGTTCACTTCATTGAACTATAAATAAACTGGAAGGCTAACTGCTATGATGAAGGCCTATGATTTGATGAAGCCAAAATAGTTTTTTTGAGCCCATAACTTGACCCCAAACGTCGGGCTACATATCAAATTGAAGCTATTGAAAATTGCTATTCGGTGTGGAAATTTCAAGACTTCAGCGAAAAGAAAAATATTTTAAAAATACAAAAACAACTACAAAACGGCAAATTATCGGTAATTATGTTTGTAGTTTTTCAATATTTCCCTTTTAGCTAAAGTGGTTGGTTCACTTTAGGGGACACGCATGTGAGCATACATACACACAATTTACGAACTAACCAGGCACGGTAGCGAAAACTGGCAACTGGAACCAACACTAGGTATTTTTCGCAACTGTTTTTGGTTAGGTCTTAAATTATGTATATATCTGCTCACTTGGATTATCCACCAAACCCAGCATTCTAGTTCAACCAAGCAGAAGTGCTAAACACATCTTTCAAGGTCCGTAAACTAGACCTCTACTCCTTCCCTAAATTCGGCCCTCCCCCCACCATTGTCACCAAAATCCGACCTTGATATCACAGCTACTGTATATACTGTATACACAATGCATAGGCCTGCGGACACAACTAAATGTAAAAATACTCACCTCTCTATGATACTGTATAGCTTTATTGAAATTTCCCAAGAGATAGTAAGTATTACCAAGGTTGCCACATGCCCGACCTTGAGCTCGACGATCTTTTAACTCACGTACTAGTTTTAAATTCGCTCTAAATGGAATACCAGAAATCTGTAAGTTAACGTATCTGCTCACGTTTAACCGACTCGACTCTCGTCAACTTTGGACTGGTTCAAATTTGAATGAGAGTTTTCGCTACGCGCGTGGTAATTATCCAGTTCTGCTCTCATCAACTCTCACGTGACTCTTGTTCTCGTTTGACTGGGGCATGAGAGTTGAGAAAACTCTCGTGCAAACTCTCACTTCTCAACTCTCATCAACTCTCATGCAACTCTTGTTCTCGTTTGACCGGAACACGAGAATTGAGAAAACTCTTATGCAAACTCTCACTTCTCAACCCTCATCGACTCTCATGTAACTCTTGTTCTCGTTTGAACGGGACATGAGAATTGAGAAAACTCTCATGCAAACTCTCACTTCTCAACTCTCATCAACTCTCATGCAACTCTTGTTCTCGTTTCACTGGGACACAAGAGTTCAGGAAACTCTCATGCAAACTCTCGCTTCTCAACTCTCATGTAACTCTTGTTCTCGTTTGACCAGGACACAAGAGTTGAGGAAACTCTCATGCAAACTCCCGCTTCTCAACTCTCATGTAACTCTTGTTCTCGTTTGAACGGGGCATGAGAGTTGAGAAATCCTTCATGCAAACTCTCGCTTCTCTAACAATCTAAAGTCTGTAAAGAGTGCATCGAAGAGCAATGTCGTACAGTACATGTACTATGTTAAATGCTGTCCTCGGATAAGATTATAAGAATAAATGTAAAGGTCTACTTACTCGTAAAATTCCGCAGCCTTTTCCAACGGTGTTCGAACTTCCTCAGGGAAATTTCCAGGATCCTGGTGGAAGTTTCGACCAGCGTGTTTTCCTTTCGCGTGATAAACATTTCCAAGATTATAAAGTGCTCTCGCTTCGAGAACCTAACAAATTACAGTAAATACAGGGATTTCGAACATATGTTTTCTTAGAAAAAAATATTTTTGATTAGCAACTTAGCAACTTAGCATACAATAGCAAACTAGACTGTTCTAAACCATACACACAGTCGAACGCCTACTAACGGACACTGCTCTTAATTAAACGGGCTTCTTAATTAAACGGGCATCCCTCTCAAATGGACATCCCTCATAGACACACAAGCTGACATCTCTATTGAGGCACAGATCTTACAATTTTAATTAAGAGTCTTACAATTTTAATCTTAAAAGTCTCAATAGCAATGATTTGAATAACCTTTCTTACGCAGACAAACGTAAAAGATGAAATTAAATATCTTTATTATATGGCAAGCATCACTTCCGGTGAAATGGCGGACTGTGATTGGCTGAGAAGCACAGCGGTCCATTACTAAACGCATGCATTTTAAAATAAAGTTACAAAACAGAAAAACTAATTGAAAATTATAATTTAATTTGTTATTTATAAGATATCTGCGAATGGTTTTTAGTGGAAAAGAAGGAATGCATTGGTATTTTCTGTTTTCTTCGATCAAATGTGTATACCATACTACTAATATGCATTTCAAATCATGCATTTCTTGTTTGTTTCAAGTATAAAGGCCTATAAATGCCATACAATAAACTTTTTATTAACCTTGCTTAATCGGTATGTACAGAGAAATATCGTACCTCGGTCCGATATTTCTCTGTACAGAGCTCGCGTTTGGTTAATAAGAAGTTATTAATGAAATTTTCATAACAATCAACAGTATAATATTCAATTTTAAATACATTCATTACACATCATTTTATCATTGTTTTGCAGTATTTCTATGTAGTACTATAAATGCTGATATAAACTTGAACTAATCTTTCCTATACAACTATAAACTTTTCATCTTATTTGCCACAAGAAAATACTCGCAGGGAGGTTAAACACCAGGGCTCGAAATAGCGGGCTACCAATGGCCAAAAGCAGGTCATATTTTAGAAATGGCAGGCAAAAACAAATTTGAACTGCCAAGTCAAAAAAAAAATGGCAGGTGGAATTCTATAGATATATTTTGTTTTATTTGCTTACCACAACTCATATATACTATTACTAGATCATTTATTTGACTAAATTAGTAAATACGTTTATATTTGAAATGTAAATCCAAGTTTACTGTAGTAAAATAGACAAGTTTAAAAACAATAAATTAAATGAATATCATGAAACATTGATTTTCACAAGATGACTCATGAGACATCGCCATTTTGGCAGTTCAATGAATAAAAATGGCAGGCTAAAATTTATTTCACCTGCCAAAAAAATTTAGACTGGCAGGCTATATTTTTTCTCTACTTCCAGCCTTGTTCAATACCATAATCAGCCCTTCTGAGTTCTGGTGAAACGTTCTATTAAGTTCCGTACAGTTTTCTTTGATGACAAGTTTCCCTTGACAACAGGGTTCGAAATAACGTTCCGAAAATATGTGAAATTTTGTAGGCTGTTTTTCGTAGGTGAAAATTTTTGCCGGCTATTCTCCAAGCGAAGTTTATTTATGTTCTGGAGTGGGCATAGGCCAAATAATAGTGATGTAAACCAACACAACATTTGTAAGAACGTAGTAATACATTTTATTTGTTGTAGGAACAAACATTAACAAGTTCTGTGTATATGTACGGTGTTATTGTAAGCGAGTCATCGATGAATAAATATAATATTTTCGCCGATCCTCTACGCTTTGAAATTAAAAATCGCCGGCAAGGTCCTAAAACTGCCGGCTATCGCCGGAAGCCGGCAGCTATTTCGAACCCTGGACAATCATAGTCAGTTTATTTGCTCAGGGTTCGTAGTCTCCAAGACAAAAAATATTCAAAGACTTTCAAAGATTTTTTCTGCCTATTTTCAAAGACTTTTCGAAGACCAGCTGTCGAAAAATTGCGAGTGTAAGCACCATTTTTGCCCAGTAATTAGTCCCGCCACATCACATCTTAAAATGCACCTTTTCTTTGTGATATTTGCGAAAACCTTGCTCTTCAATCAATCTATTTTATTGGCTAGGAAATCGTATAATCAAGTACTCACTAAAGAATTCATTTTAAAGACTTTCTTCGCTTTTTCACACAATTCAAAGACTTTTCAAAGACCTTAAAGACCTGCATTCAAATTTAAAGACTTTCAAGGATTTCAAAGACCGCTACGAAACCTGTTGCTGTGTGTAGGGCAAAAAAAATGTCAATTTTGGCAAGGAGGCTTGTTCCAAAGCCAGTCATGCCAGCTT